TCAAGTGCTCCTTACTCCAAGCTGAGATTTTGGAGAGCCTCCTTTCTTGCTTTTGACTTTTAACTTTGGCTCCTCACGACTTTTTTTTTTTTTTTTTTTTTTTTTTTTTTTTTGTGGAGCAGCGTGGCAGGTCGGGGCAGCAGCGGAGACGACAGATTAACCAGTCCCACTAAGCAAAGAAACTGTTATTGCCAATCCTCGGTGAGAGAATTAATAAATGCCCTCATTAAAGCAACTTTAGGAGCTGGATAATGTTTCATATATTTCAGAGAGTCATTTTACACCGGAAACCCACAGTAATCCCTTAATGCAGGCAAAACATTTACCTAAGTGAAGAGAGCAGGTTCAGCTGGCAGCTGAAATGTGGAATCGCATTAGGAAATTTGGGATTTTCTGTTCCGACAGAGTTTAACCTGGCAAACGGGGGACTGAGCCAATTAATTCTCCCGCTCAGAGATGCTCAAGCGTATCAGGAACATCTCGCCGGGGTGGCTTACACCGTGCCACGCTGAGGGGCTACGGGGAAGCACGTGCTGTGCCCAGAGGGTTTTTCTAAACACTGGCTTAATGTATCATTAATAGCAAACAGACCATGAACTTTGATTTTAATATAACACTACTTAGTTGTAGCATTTGCCATTTAATGAATGCTGAAAGCACTAATAGGCTCAAATCTGGGTAAGGGCTTTTTTTATAGCAAAGGCTACTGCCACGGTGTCTGACGGGTCCATCTCTGCATTATGGCTCAGCTTTCAGAAAGGGCAACGGCACAAATAAATGTCTCACGCCACGGCCGGGTTCCCTCTTCCCCTCACCCCAAGCAAAGGAGCTCTAAGAATGCACCTTTCTCTGCCCGACCAACCATTTTGTCATGACGGATGGCCACGGTTTAGGGTGCCCATCTCATCCACAAGCAGAATTTGGAAGCCCTCCTTCCCCAGCAGCATCCTGATGAAGGGCCTCTGTATCATTACTCCATGGCGGACTCATTAGAGTGAGAGGAAAGAGAGGGCGAGCTGGGATTTATGAACCACCTCCTAATCTTGTTGTGTCAAAAAATAAATTCAGTTTTTCTTTGCGAGCCTGACACATCCTGAACTTTTGTTCCTTAGCAAATATGAACTCGTCTCAAAGGTTGAAAACTCAGGCAGGCTTCTTTTTGTGTTTTTAAGGTCAAGGAAGGAGAAGGAGAACAAAATCAAAACAAAAATACCCTTTTAGAAAGAAACTTAACTTCATTGATTATGTCAATGAAAAGCAGATAAAAAAAAAAAAAAAAGATGCTGATAGCAGACGACATCAGATGTGTCAAGGAAAAAATAAGATGGAAAGGGGGGTGACTGGTTTAGGAGGTCTCCAACTATTAGAGAGGCACAAGCAGGTTTAAAACAATGAAGATTTAACTGTTTCTAACCAAAAAAAAAAAGAAAAAAAAAAAAAAAAGGAGTAAGGAACAGCAGTTCATCCAGCCAAGAAGGAAGGATGTAACTTGTCAAAACCTCGTGCAGCCACAAGCTCCATATGGGTGGATCAACAGTCACACTCCTCACCCCAAATGTGTCCGTGGCATTTCCACGGGACCAACCTTTCTGACGCTGCAGCATTTTGGCAAAAAAAAAAAAACCCTCTGATTTTTCAAAGAAACACCTTTGCACAAATTATCCTCCTGTGGTCACACTTCAAAACTCCAAGGGCAAGGTACCGCCACCCCACGATTCACTGGGAAATCCCCAAGAAATAAATCGGCAGGCAGGTTGTTTCCTAAGCCAACAATCAAAGCAAAGCTAAACACGATAATGGACTCCTCAACTGTCGTTTATAAATGAACAGCAGATTAGGCAGTAATTTCTTCCTACAAGTACCTCTCGGTGGTTTCTATCAACAAGCATTTATTTTAAAACACTTTGAAGGTGCTCTCTGGGCTTCACACGTAGATGGAATGGAGAGCCCACTTCTTCCAGGAGGATTCATACGGGCTCTTTTGGGTGTTGTGAGAAAAACTACATTTGTAAATCAGAATTAACCACACCCCGAGCATCCTCCACCAGCCCCGCAGGATGTTGAAGCCCCGAGGGCATCCACGTGTCCCTCCCGGAGCCACAGCACTGCAGCGCTCACCCAAAAGGCACAAAAATGTCCTACCCAAATGTCATCTGCTCTGTAATATTCTTGGTGAGTTCAGCTTTGGGATTTTCAATGCAAGTCCCGTAATAAATCTCGCCACGCTTCTGTGGTCTCCTTATGACAGTATCACACACAGATCTGCTTCATGTATTACCACTGTTTCATGCAACCCAAATATACTCTTAGCGCAGCCGTGCTACTATAAACACAGGTATCAGCAAATTCATTCTGTATTATGACTGCCATAAATCTATCAGGACTTGTCAGAGGCAGAAGGGCCTGAGTTGTCCATAAAGCAGCAGTGCTTAAAGCTCAGAAATCTCAGGGACGTGAAAGCAAAATCAAACGCACGCTGCTAAATGTTGCAGGTCAGAAACTGCCCCGGTTTTTTAAAGGGAGAAAAAAACAAAACAAAACAAAACAAAAAACCGACAGAACCAAACCCAACATAACAATTCCCTTTCTCTGCAGAGACAGGCAGCTGACAGATGGACTACGCCGTTAAATGTCAGCATGATAACTCAAACCCCGAGCGCCAGCAAAGAGCCCCACTCAAAGTCTGCTCAGTGCAGCCCATGAACTGCCCATGAATCTCACCACCGCTTCGCCCACCTCAAAGAGCTCCTCCACGCATCCCAGGGGCTCACAACCCCTGACTGTGGTCACTAATTCACCATTAATTCATCCCCTCTGGTAGTTTAGGCTTCTGCTTCTTGAGGATTTAAGGACGTGAGGTAAAAAAGCAGAAAAATATAGACTGAAAGTGGCACGCCAAAAGCTCTACCCCTAAATCAGGAGCACAAGCCCTGTTAGTGACTGGCTCCAACATCTCCCGAGCGCTGGCAGGATGCATAACCCTTGGTTCCAGACATTCCACCCAAGGCCACACATCGTATTAATTACTGATATGAAACAGAATCACACAATCATCCGGGTTGGAAAAGCCCTTGCAGCTCCTCCAGCCCAACCATGACCCTCACCCTGACCGTTCCCAACTCCCCCAGATCCCTCAGCGCTGGCTCAGCCCGACTCTTCAACCCCTCCAGGGATCCCGGGGACTCCCCCCTGCCCTGGGCAGCCCATTCCAACGCCCAACAGCCCCTTCTGCACAGAAATCCTTCCTCAGAGCCAGCCTGACCCTGCCCTGGGCAGCTTGAGGCCATTCCCTCGGGGCCTGGCGCTGGGGCCTTGGCTCCAGAGACTCATCCCCCCTCTCTGCCCCCTCCTGGCAGGGAGTTGCCGAGGGCCAGGAGGTCTCCCCTCAGCCTCCTCTTCTCCAGACTGAACCCCCCCAGTTCCCCCAGCCGCTCCCCAGCAGACATAAACAATCTCTCAGCCTGTGCTTCACGCAAACCTGCTTGAGCAAGGGTTATGATTTCTCAAATGATCTCATGTCTGTGTTTTATATTCAAAACATTTGGTTCGAGGGGATTACATATTGCACTCTGCGCTTGATTGCCGTCCCTTAGTGCCTATTGCAGACCAGTCCCATGCAAAGAGATCCAGTGAGCAATGCCGGGGTGCAGTGAGTAATGCACAAAATGAATGAAGTTGCACTTTGGAGGTGCTGAAGGATCAACTTTACAGCCCTCTGTGGCACCCAGCTCCATCCGCAGGAGGAACTGGCCAGGATTCTGCTGATTAAAGCCGGGAGCTGAAATGGAGGATGAGCGTTTCGGGATGGCTGCATTCATTTTGCATGAAGCAAAGGTGTGATTGCATCTCATTTGACTTCACCGCCAGCACAATGGAAAAGGAGGCAAAGGGGGGGAAAAAAAAAAAAAAAAAAAAAAAAAAAAGTGCAAGTGTAAGGAATAGAGGAGCCCTGGATTAATTTCCTTTAACAAGGTAATCCTGATGGAAAAAGCAACGCGCTTTAATCATCTGCACCGCGCGCTACATCTTCCACCTAAAAGAAATGATTTCTTGTCAGACACAACCGGTCATGTTTCACTGAAGAAGTTGAGTCTCGCTGGGGTACGTAACGAGGCAAGAAGGAAGAACATTATTGCCTGGGACAGCTGAAGCTGAATTGGATATCACACCACAAAGGCACCTGAAAAACACACAATGGGGACAAAAATCGGCGCTGACAGGTAGGGAGGAGTAGATTAGATGACCAGAATACCCTCTCTCTCTCGACTCTTTATTATTCTATGAACCTGTTTGAGTCTGTAGAACAGTTCAAATTCCTACCCCAACAAAGGCTGGGTTTAGCTTGGCAAAGAAAAAGGCAAGCCTCTGATTTTTATTATCCCTGTATCTCCTTTTGACAGAGCTCCTCAGGTGGCGATGCCAATAGTGTATTAAAAGTTGTAAGAGAAAGGGTGGGCTGGGGCCAGGATGGTAATCAGAGGTGGGGAAACGGAGGAGCTCTTCTATCTCACACGGTGATGGTAACACTCCTTTTCGATAATGTGCCTACAGTAACCCAAATATTCTGGATCCCAGGGAATGGCAAGTGTCAGTCTCAGCCACAGCTAGAAAGCGAGCGTGGCCCAAGGGGAGGCCGTCAGCGAAGCGGATTGCTGTCATTCGGGTGACGAATGGGGAATTCTCCACAAGGCTACGGGTGTAGGATGGGGAACAACTCGCTCCATATCCGAATGGAGCATTACCTGAGGGAAAGCCTTGTCAGGTTCCAGACAGCGGAACTGCCAGTTTTCAATATCTATACCATTATTAAAAATTTAAAAGAGATCTATGAAAGCACAGCCAATTTTTAACTGTGTAAGTGAAGCCATCCCGACAAATCCAGAACCTGTTTCTTATCCCTCCACTCTTTGTCCCTCTCCCAGAGCATCTCTCTGTAATTCTGGGGTTGAGAGCAGCTCTAGACAACACATCCCTATTCCAAGGCTTTACAGAATCACCTCGGTCAGAAAAGCCCTTGAAGCTCCTCCAGTCCAACCACGAACCTCACCCTGACCGTTCCCAACTCCCCCAGATCCCTCAGCGATGGGTCACCCCGACTCTCTCCCTGTGGGGAACTCTTCAGCCAGTTCTGTCCTGCATTTCAGTATTTAAAAAATTTTCCAGCAGATCTCTCCAGAAAAGTTTCCACAAAATCACAAGCAGAGAGCTTCGCAGGGCATCTCGTCGCTGCCGCGGCCTCTTCCCTGACCCTACACAAGGGAGACAGGGAGAGAATAGAGATGCCCTGGTTTAGTGCTTTTATCTTCTTTGCCACCTGATAAAAAAAAAAAACAGCAGAGAAACAAAATAAATCTTGCCACCGCTGGGAGCGCAACGGATACTCTTGGCAGAGTACAACCTCATGGAGCAGAGATGTTTTATTCCTGCTCAGACACGGGTGGGCATCCGCTGAGGCAGCTTAGAGAGGGAGTTTGGGAAGGAGCCGGTATAAAAAAGCAATCTCCGGCAGAGACAATTTTTGGAGCAGCAATTTTCTAAGTGGGAAGGGTAAGCAGGTTAGCAGGTCACAGAAAAGACTGAAAAAGCCTCAACATTGCTGCTTGACGCCAAGACGACAACAGCAAGGCGTGGAAAAAGTCCGCGGGTCCTGAGCTCAGCTAGGACAGGAGTGGGTGGGATCAGCTGGATCTGCCTGCCAATCATCAGGAAAACTAATAACGGTTGCAAAGTTAAATGGGTGACACAACAGCTTTGAAAAGTTTGGAGGAAAAAGTTCAATGCTGGCCCGTCACTGTTAATAATTAAATAGGGATGGTTGTAGATTTGCACCTCTACGGATACGTACGATCCGTGGGTCTGCTCGCACCACCCCTCCGAGTGCTCACATTAACGACCCCCAGCCTATCAGAACTGGGAAAAGATTCGAGGAAGCTCAGAGCTGGGGAGAACTGAAGGATTTGAAGCCTCACGGGCTTTTAAATAAGCAGGTTGAGGACGTGCTGCGGTCCTGGGTCTTGAAGAGATGAGGCATTTCGTGTTATTTATCTGCCCCCTTTAATTAGTGGAGAATAAAACGGGCATGAGAAGACTTTGTGGGAACCCCTCAAGATCGCATTTCTATCGTTCCGTATGTGCTCCAAAATGGCACAATTTATACTGATGTCACAACAGAAGCAACACCACTGCAGCCCCAAGAGTTCGCCTCGGCCAAATCCTGCCATGGAGCAAAAAATAAGAAAGACCAGTTTTACAAATGCTGCTATTAGATAACAGAAAATAGATGAAAGCTTAAAAAAAAAAAAAAAACACAAAACCCTACTTTTTGGTTTTATTTTGTTGGGATTTCAACTTCAAAGGGAAACATGTGCGTTCGACTCAGGTACAGAAGCACCTGGAGGCTGTAGCTGAATGGAAAATGTGCTCATCCCTAAAGAAAACAGAGTCTATAGGGTACGGTGCCAGCTCACTTTAGCACCCACGGGCATCTCCAGGCTGGATTGGGGAAGGAAATGAATTCTGAAAGAATTAATTCCTAAAAAATTAAGAGCATGTGTGCAAGACGTGGCAGATCAGCAGCAGTCAGTGGAAATTTCAAGGGAGGTACAAGGAGCAGCTGATGGGAGATGGGATGCTTACAGAGCCTGGCCAGGAGAGGCAAAAGCATCCTGTCAGGGAGAGAATGATAGAAGTGGTAAACGGGGCAGCAAAAGTGAACCACAGATAGAATAGGGACGAGGGGAAATCAAGAAAAGCAGATCTGACTTTTCGGCTGCTCTGCTGAAACGCGCTTAGGTTTTGGGGATGTCGAGGGCTGGGGGTATATTTTCTGCTGCGAAGCTTCAAAAAAGGACCACACCAGAGCCTGGAAACCAAAGTCTCTGTCACCTTCACTTTGCCAAGAAAAGATTCATCGAGTGATTGGAGTTATTCAGATATATGCCTCTCTCCAACAAAATGCATCAGCTGGAGAGCAGATCTGCCCAGTTTGGGGAGCCCAAGGCTCTCCTTTCTCCTTTGTACTCTCACATTGCCTACGAAAATGCTTTCCCTGCAGTTAAATAGGAAACTGATGCCCCAAGCACTCCAGAAAATCCCCTCAGTGCCTGGAAGTAAAAAGATCATAAATATTAGCCCCCCAAAAAATGCTAGACAAGGATAAGACAAAGTGCTCCAACAGCTGCTAAATGCCACAACGATCAAATCAGATGTGCCATGCCAAGAGGAGCCCCTTTGTTCCGGAGCTCTCCTGCAGCACCCAGCCCTTCCCCAGCTGCGCTATATAGGTGAGGTGGCACTAAGGCAGGACTAAAACCTTAAACCTGGCTCATCTCCCTCAGACAAGTGGATTCCCAGCAGTTGTCATCCCGCTGCTCTGCCTGGGTGGGAAAGGCAGAAGCAGCCTTTCGGATTGCTGCCGTTTCCCAACGAGACCTCTTGGAGATGACTCGGGGTGCTGGCTAGCTGTGCAGCAGCCACAGGAGATGAGCCCAATTGGCTAGTGGTAGCCACAGCCCCAAGAGAAGGAACACAGCCCCGGGATCTGGAGCACAGGTCTGCTGGGGAGCGGCTGGGGGAACTGGGGGGGTTCAGTCTGGAGAAGAGGAGGCTGAGGGGAGACCTCCTGGCCCTCGGCAACTCCCTGCCAGGAGGGGGCAGAGAGGGGGGATGAGTCTCTGGAGCCAAGGCCCCAGCGCCAGGCCCCGAGGGAATGGCCTCAAGCTGCCCAGGGCAGGGTCAGGCTGGCTCTGAGGAAGGATTTCTGTGCAGAAGGGGCTGTTGGGCGTTGGAATGGGCTGCCCAGGGCAGGGGGGAGTCCCCGGGATCCCTGGAGGGGTTGAAGAGTCGGGCTGAGCCAGCGCTGAGGGATCTGGGGGAGTTGGGAACGGTCAGGGGGAGGGTCATGGTTGGGCTGGAGGAGCTGCAAGGGCTTTTCCAACCCGGATGATTCTGGGATTCTGTGGGATAAGCTCAGCAGGCTCCTTTCTGGGATTTAGCAATACCAGGACTAGCTAGTTCCATGCTCTGGCACCAGGACCTGGCCTCACACGCCCATCCCTGCAGCAACACAAACCACCGCGGAGGGGTACAACCCTCCTGGTGTAACACGCTCTCCTTTCTCTCCCATCTGCCAGTCCGGCTCTGGACAGGCGCTGTCCCTGTCACACTCTTATCACCCTCGCTCTAGGCCCGTGACTCTGAATGTCAGGATCTGGCAAAGAGGAACATAAAGGAAGCGCACACACACCCACCCAGCAGTTCCCCTCAAGCAATACTAGGTGGGAATACCATATTTTTGTCCATCCCAACCAGCCCGAGCTATTACTTGCTCTGCTTCGAACAGATTTGAGCCTTTCTGAGCTTAAAATCCATTGCGCAACCATCGCTGCAGTAACTAATCGAGACTATAATGACTGCAGCTAGCTGGCACAGCAGGTTCTGTTTGGAGACCACTGATTCAGACCTGAAAGGCTGAGAATTAGAGAGAGACAAAATAAAAATCATCCACAAAACGGAAAGATCGGAAAGGCTGTGGAGCAGAAGAGGGTCTGAGAGTCGGCAATGATAAATATTGGCGGGGAGAGGGCGGGGGTGCGGGCAGGAAGGTTTGGCATCAGGAGTGAATTGAGATTTCTAATCCATAACTCAGAAGGGATCAGCGTCTGTGTGCTCTCCCCATTCTAATTAGATGATGCGCTTGCAAAATAAACAAATAAATAAATAAATCCGAAACCAGCGCTGAGGTTGTGCGCTGCTCCATGGACTCGGAGCTCTAAGAGGTTGCAGCTGAAAAGCATCTTTATAATCTACCGCGCGGCCAAGTGAGTTGGGAGCAGTTTGCTGCAGCAGAAGGGCTCTCGCAGCACTTCGTAGCTGATTTTTGGGGTGATTTCTATCGTCATCCGAGAGCCAACGGAACTGATTCAAGCAGAGACGTCTCCTAGAAGGAGTTTGCATAGAGGGATGACAATTAGCAATTTTCATCAAATCGGCTCGCGGGATAAATGAGTGCCAGCGGTTCCACGTAGCGATTCAAGTATCACCGAGGACAGAAAAGAGGGAGCAGCTCCTCAGTCGTATCTTTATCAGGAAGTAAAAGACGTTCTAGAGGAAGCAGATTGTCTGGAGATGTCAGGTCTCTCCTGGAGAAACACACCATTGGAAAAGGAGGATTTTTTTGAATATAAAGCGTGAGATTTACTCAGCAGCTCCTGAAACTCTCATCTGCTTTTGCAGCCGTCCTCTGCTGAGGACTGAGCACAGCCTTGCTGGGGAAGGGGCGGGGGGGACACAAGAAAAACAGGAGAAAACTTCTCCTCCAGTGGGACAAGGCAATAGAGGAGCAAAGGGAGGTTAGGAGGGAGTCGTTAACTCCATGTTTCTTTTTTTTTCCTGTTTTTCAAGAAGTTCCAAAATCTTCCCTCAGCTACCCCAGGGGTCCTGCTGGGAAGTTCTGCACCCCAGATCTTGACATACGTCACGAAAAGATGTTGGAGATGGCACTGTGGATATCACCCTTAGGTAGAATTGGGACTTTACAGACTTTTCTTTGCCTTTGCAACAATAACAGATGAAATTGGACTGATTATTTTTTATTTTAAATTAAATGAAAAATCCCCGTGTGCAAATCCTTTGCTCTTCTGAATATACTCAAAGGCCCTGAGGAGGAACTAATCCACTGACCCTTTTATGATGCACAAAGGTTTCATCCAGCCTGTTTTACCTTTCCTTTCTTTTCTAAACTGGATCCCTTTCAGTGCTTTCATCACATCAGACTAAATCTGACTACCCTGCTTAGGAGAGCTCCGCTCTACAACACTGAGAGACTATGTCACTCCTCTCCTTTAAAGTGGCACTGGAGATGAGACAAAGAAAATAAATAACTTTCAGCAAAGAGAGCAGCATTTACCCACCCGGGAGCAAAAGGGCTCCTGGTGAGCAAAGCAAACACAGGTTGAAAAGATAAATACTGTCATGGGAAAAAAAAAACAACTCTGCACCTGAGTCGGTGCAACAGCCCTAGAAGTGCTGGTTGGGCTGGAAAGAATCACAAGCTGTGATCTGAGAGACAAGAAACATCACTGCTACAAACTGCAGATAGG